AAAAAAGAGTTTATTTGGTCTTTCCCACAAAAATGGAAAATACCAAATTCGCAAAGTGTTTTGTAAAATAATTTGATTGAAATCTGACAAAATTGCTAATGCGATTAAAAAAAAATAAATCTCAGATTACTGTTTGGATCATCAAAAGATACAACTAGCTATAGTTAATAGCAATCTCGTAGTTTTGTTGACAATATAAATTCTTATATCTGTTATTATGTTGATTATGTTGAGGCTAGTAGAGTCAGTGCACCTGAGCACTTTTACTCTCTATTAACTGCGAGGTTTCTTCAAAACCTCTCTTTGCGCCTTGACTAGATTATTGTTTATCACTTCATCTTGCTCATAATTTGCAAGAACTGGAATGAGATTGTTAGATAGTAATATATTAAGCATGAAAAATATTTATATCTTTTCTTTAAACGATTTACCAAATACATTACGAAAATTAAGTACCTCGAGGAAGATGGCCTCATCTGTTATTCTACCATTTCAATTTTCTTCTTATTACTTTTATTATTAAGAATTTAGTTCCTTTCATCAAAACGGCTGTTAAAATTCAACTTATTTCTTAATGTTGATTCTTTTTGTCGAATATGATGCCTCTTATGAAGAAAAGAAAGTAGAAAAGTTCGAAAAGTAATGAAGAAAGAACAAAACAACATACAACAGCGTCGTATGGTCAGCGAAATTTCAATAAATTAATCAAATTTTTGTTGTTGTTTCTCCATTATTGTTCGAACACTTCTTATTTCTGTAATTTTTAATTTTAATTGCTTTCATTAGAGATTTAGGCACAATGGTACAGTTATTAAGTCTCCTAATATAGTTTATTTATATTCCTCAACTTTAAAGAAAAGAGAGCTACGTCTATTTGGACATTACATACATTTTTTCAGAATTTGCTGCTAATACCACTTAAAAAAAATAAAAAAAGAGTTGAAGAAATCCCAAATCTTACTAAAATCATTCATATTCGTTACAAAATGTATTTATACGTTGAAGAGTTAGTTACACGTCGGAGTTACAAGCAAAGAAATAGATGCTACACTATTGCTTCTGTGGCAGAAACTTTCTAGATTTTCTCACATCATAATAAATTCACTCTTACCTATGTGTTAGGTATGTTAAGTATATATTTACTTGTTTACTATGCTCTTTGGTAAGTTTACGTGCCTCAAAGTAGTTTACTAAGTAAGAATTAGAATAAATTTAAAAAGTTTCGACTCGAATTATACCAAAAACGAACACGGTAAGAGGTTAAAACTTAAATGTTAAATTCGTTCAACAAAACTCGTAAGAAAATATTTTACAATTTTATTTTTGGCACGTAGAAAAGTTTAAAAGTGGTAAATTATTTGCATATTTGTTAATTAGTAATTAGGTTACTTACATGATTTTTTGTGAAAATAACTAGCATAGCTTTCGCAAAGAAAGTTTTAATATAAGCAGCTAAAGTTTACTAATTAAAAAAGTAAATAGTTTCAGATAATATCTTGATAAATTAATCTTGAATATTTAAAGTATCGTAATCTTTTAAACGTGAGTAGTTAAATTTTAGAAACTAAGATTATTGCAGTCTAATAAAGTTAGAGAATTTTACGTTTCCAAAGGGAATGGTACTTTTAAGTTTACTAATAAAACTTTAACAACACTTTAATTATCTAGTAAAATTGGTACATTAATTGGTACTAAGTACTTGATTTTACTTACAAATGTTTAACGAGAAATAAAGACATTGCGAGGTATTTAATTTAAAATCACCGAATAATTAATTTAATATTTCAGAGAGGTCTCTAATGAATTTACAATAGAGAGGTATCTGCTAACAGACGACTTTAACCAACCAACGAAGACATTTCTTAAAGACTTTTTTATAATCTATCACAACTTTGCAATAAATAATTTTAATTTTCATCTTTAATTTAATAATAATGTAATAATATATAACAAAAAATAAACTCTAAAGCAATAAATATCATGCCTTTACAGTTTTTCTTGTTAATTAAACAATTACAAAAAAAAAATACGTATACGCACTGTTGCACAATTTAGTGGTTTTTCTGTCTAATCAAATATTTTCAGTTCCTTTAGAAATCCTAAGCATTTAGCTATAGGCGGAAAGGTCTTTAAAAAATCATGAAAAATGTTACGTTTATAACATAAACTATTATAAAATCAACCCTTCTATGCATTTTATGATTAAAATTACTATTTCAAACCCAAAAATGTAAAACAAAAGGGCAATGAAAAATAAAAAGATATGGAGGTCAAATTGTTCAGCAATAAACGTTTATTCTGCTTTTTGTTTCGCATTTTCTCTACTTTTTCGCAAATCATGGAAAAATTAATAATAATAAAAACTAAGGCTTAAATTAAATTAGATTAAATTGCACAAATTTCCACACGTAAACAGGAAATTTAGCAGTTTGCGGTTTGTTCTTGTAGCAAAATAGGCCATTTTATTTGGTTTTGTTGCGGGTTCAAAGTGAACCTCACCAGCAGGCAACTGTTTTGAATGCGTCCTTTTATCCGATAGGAAACAGTAATGGCGCCATAACATTTATGATTTTTTAATGCACATTTAAACAAATTAGGCTAGGCTTATACAATATCATAATGGATATATAGGTTAAGGTGGCTTTACTGCTGAAAAGTAGAATGAAAGTGAGAGTAGTTTTATTAAAATAGCTTGAATGGTTTGTTCCGTTTTTAAAGTTAAATTCTTGAAAAATTTATGAGTGATATGTTATAATTATTATATCTTGGTAAAGATTTTTATTATACGTTATATATATTTCGCTCTACTTCGTAGACCATTTTCATTACTTTAAATAAAAGAACTAAAATTTTTATTTAAAATTAATAAATAAATAAGATTTCAGTTCCGATTAAAAAGAGTAATATAAAACAAAAAATAGTAGGTTACTTGAGCAATGAGCCCGTAAATATAAAGGTTAAGTTAGGCTATTCTGGTAGGTCAAAAAAAAGACCATTCATTGACTATTAAGATCCATTGCGATACCTGATCAGATTATTATTTTTATCGGTAGTATGCATCACTCAGTATGTTGGTGTTATTACCGAATTTTATTAAGAGTTCAACAGCAACTTCAAGCATTTGCTCCAGTGCTGTAAAATTGACAGCCCCCAAGTATTTTTATCAAGATCTCGAAAGAGTCAGGAAGATACACAACGGATTACATTTTCTACAAGCATCCCGCAAATATAAAGTTCGGGATCGATTTCTTATATCTAAAATACATAACATGACAAGGCCTTAGTATTAAAGAGTATTTGGATACATTAGAAAAATAATTTAACTTATTTTATGCTACTCATATCTTAACGTGATAAGTAAGGCAAACAGCCTTTACCTAGATTGTATTCCAGTTTGTTCTGACATCCTGGGAAATTGCAAAGGCAATGAGGTAGTCAGACACTACATTCATACGAAGTACAATGTTATTGGAGATATAAATCCCTGTTTTCTCACACAGAAGTCTGAGGCGTAATTTCACTACATAGGTGAAGTATATTTAAAACGAGTTTGTCACGTATCACAACCACTTTCGGCAAGAAACTGTTAAGGAAGCTATCACTCTCATAAATGTAAGAATATCTAGAATAAATATGTTCAATGATCTAATTACATATCATTGCTTAAAAGACATCTTTGTAATGAGATTAGATGTCTTGAAGTGAAGTTTTTGCAAAGACAAGGACATGGAAAAAATCATCATACATTTATTGTATCATTGTCCAACTTCTTAGGGGATGACTCCAATGAATGACAGGGTTCGGGGGGATCGTAAAAAAGTTTAAGTTAATAATAGAAACTAGATGATTCAGAGATGACTTAAAATAAGTTTAAGTTTCTCTATGCTGTCGCAATGAGGCCCTGGCCTAAGTTAGGCTCAAGTTTTTTGCTAGGGACTACGATAATTATTATTATCTTTATTATTATTATTAGAGTTGGCCATGATCGATATAATTAATCTGTCTAGGTTTATAACGAAAACTAGAGATTCAAATATGATTTAAAGGTTGAGTACTTCCATGCTACCATAATGGGATTCTGGCTTAAATGAGTCAACAGTTTCTTATTACGGACTGCCACTATTATTATTATTATCTTATTAATAAGAATTTCTAAATTTATGAAGCCTTGGTATAAGTTTCTATTTATTATTATTATTTATTACGAAGGCCATAAAAACAGCTCAATAAATTGATAATAATGTAGTATTCATTTGTAGCTCGAATTTTGATTATTTTATATAGGTAGTTAATGCATATTTTGTAGCTTTAAAAAGTAAATTAAAAAACAAAAACTTTGTTTTTCATAAATTCACATTTGTTAAAACTTTAGTGATTTAAAAATTATTAAAAACGAAAGAGAACTAATAATTTGTTTAAAAAACAAAAAAATAAAATACATATCCTATTTTTTATATATGTTTATATATTAAGCAAATAACAATAATGAGCTTGAAACAAACGATATAATAAAAATACATAATCAATATTTCGGCATTTTTCTGGTTTTCTAAATCAGCTTCGAAAAGTGGTTTAATATGCAATTAATTGATTCAATTAATATAGTTGCTCATTTAAATTTTGCTTAAATATGTTTCTATCACACACAGATATGTAGTTGTTGTAAGATTATATGGTAAATTATTACAAATTTAATACATTTCCAAAATATGTTTCTACGTGATTTATTCTACAATTTATTTCATTAATTCTTAAGTATACTTGGCTTACATAAACCACATTTAAAATGTACTTTTATGTACTTTAGGTAAAAGTATCTACCAAATGAATATTAAATCGTATTATATTTCAAATCCAATTATTGTAATTGGATCTAAAGGAATTTTAAATTTCTTGAAATATAATATTTAGGTAATTATATTATTTAAAACATTTAAAAAAATAATTAAAATATTTTATTTCTATTTCATTTTTACTATTTAGTAATAGTTTTAGTGTTTATTTTCTTTCATTGAAGTTACACATTAAACATGAATTTTCTTCTTAACTTGTTTTGCTTTAAAGTCTTTCATTCTTTGCTCAAGTTCAGGACGAAAATGACGTATTAAGCCTTGAACTGGCCACGATGCTCCGTCCGCCAATGCGCATATTGTGTGTCCTTCAATTTGTTTGGTGATCTCCCAAATCATATCAATTTCGCTTGGTTCCGCATTTCCTGTGACAAATCGTTGCATTATATTATTGACCCAGTGCAAGCCCTCACGGCAAGGTGTACATTGTCCACAACTTTCATGTTTATAAAAAGCACTCAAGCGTGCTATTGCGCGTATAATATCTGTTTTTTTATCCATAACAATAATAGCAGCTGTTCCCAGTGAACTGCGTACAGCCAATAAACCATCAAAATCAAATATAGCATCCTCGCATTGTTTCCTCGGTACGACAGGTGTAGAAGAGCCTCCTGGTATTATAGCAAGTAAATTATCCCAACCACCACGCACACCACCACCATGACGTTCGACTATTTCTCGCAAGGGCATTGAGAGTTCTTCCTCTACAACGCATGGTGTATTTACATGACCAGAAATACTAAAAAGTTTTGTTCCTGAATTACGTGTACGTCCAAAACTCGCAAACCATGGACCACCACGGCGACAAATTGTCGGTGACACAGCAACAGTTTCAACATTTGTTACAGTCGTGGGGCAGCCAAAAACTCCAATGTCAGCGGGAAATGGCGGCTTTAGGCGTGGTTTGCCTTGTTTACCTTCAATAGATTCAATTAAGGCTGTTTCTTCACCACAAATATAAGCACCAGCACCACGTTGTAAATATATATCAAAATCAAAACCAGACCCACAAGCATTTTTACCAATAAGACCTTCTTTATATGCCTCAGCAATGGCCAGTTGTAGTGTGCAGGCCTCATTATAATATTCTCCACGTATATAGATTATTGCAGTTCCTGCACTCATAGCTCGTCCCGCAATTAGGCAACCTTCAACTAATTTATGTGGATCATGTCGTATAATTTGACGATCCTTACAAGTGCCTGGCTCACCTTCGTCGGCGTTGACTACAACAAATTTTGGTCGACCATCAGAAGGTTTGTTCAGAAATCCCCATTTCATACCTGTTGGAAAACCTGCACCACCACGTCCACGTAAACCAGAAGTTTTTAATTCATTTAATATCCAATTAGGTCCCTTCTCTATCATTTCTTTTGTCTTATACCAATCCCCACGTCTCATTGCGCCTTTAAGACGCCAGTCATGCAGACCATAAAGGTTAGTGAAAATGCGATCAGCATCAGCTAAAGGTCCAAATTTTGTTTTCGTTTGGGGTGGCGGTGTTCCAGGTGGAGGGCCTGCAGGCGGTGTAGGAGGCGGTACTCCAGGTGGTGTTCTAGCTGTAATTGGTGGCGGTGGCCTTCCACCTTGTGGTGGTTTAACTGGTGCAACACTAGCTGGTGGGTTCGGCGGTGCAGCTGCGGTAGCTGGCTTGGGAGGTGCAGCATCTGCTGGTGGCTTAGGCGGTGCAGTTGCAGCTGCAGCTGGTGGTTTTGATGGTTCCGATGGTGTTTTGGTATCTTCAGCACATTTAGTGTCAATTACTTTGGAAACCTGCAAAATATTTGGATTTTTTGCACACCAAACACCTGGACGTTTCTTTTCTGTTGTATTTGCTGGTTCCTTTGATTTTTCATTGCATTTATCGCTGGGCGGTTCTGTTGGTGGCTTTGAATCTTTACTTTCAAGTCGATTTATAATTGAATTACAATTTTTTGATAATTTTAATAACTTCAAGGAAAACAATTTTATGGAAAGCATTATGAATTTTATTATTTTTTAAAAAACAAAAAAAATATATATATAAAGAAAAATATACATTACTTATAGAGCAAAGGTTACTATAGAATTTTTTAATTGTTATATTTATATTATTTTAGTCGAAGATAATGACTTTATTAGGTTTGATAATAAGCGTGCTTTTCCGACAGAGTATACATAAATGCTTATTTAGTGTATAACTTATTTACTTAAATTAGTGGGAGTACATAAATATTATACTATATATATGTGTTCTTCTAACGATTGTTATATGTTATGCAAACATTTATACGGAAGTTAACATTTCTTAAATAGAAAAAAATCTGACATGTGTCCTGTAGAAATATCAGTTTAAGGAAACCATACATGATTATTCCTTTCAGTGTCACAGAGGCATGTGCAGCTTTAGTGGAAAATGATTGGGATTTATTTAATAAACAATTATTGTTATCTCTGGAACAACAAAAGAAAATAACAGTACAATTTAAGCTATGTTTGGTAAGCTATGCCCATGTAAACAAATAACAAAAAATAATTAATATAGGTAGGTGAAGAATACAACAGTGGATTTATTGCAGAGGTAGAAAAACAAAGGTTATTCGTCCTTTAAAAGGTAACCAGGCATAAATACTGAATTGATTTGTTTACCTTTTCTGATTTCGATGTGTATTTTACGAAAGTGATTGAAGTTTTTGTTTTCAATGGCTTAAAGGTTTTCTATGAGGAAGGTTCTGTAGGAGTGATCTGCTCAAAAACGAACTCTTGAAGAATTTTTGATGCTAAATGGTTTCAATCTTACTTTTATAAGATAAGTGTAATGGTCTGACGTGCTTATATAAATGAAATAAACTTTTTAAAATTTAATGTTTAATAAAATAAATTTTGTCTGATATTTTACATTTAATTCAAAAACCACTTTTATCTAATAAAGTGTAAAATTTTATTACTTTTTCATAAAATTGCGACTTGACTCTAAAATAATTATTAATGTTTCCTAATGCCTTTGTGACTACGGTCAACGCACAAAGTAATTTTATAAAATGAAATTCAATTATTTTTCAATTAATTTTATCGTACATGGTATTGAGCAATTACCACAACTATGCTTTATGTCATTAGAACTAAAAATGTAAAATATAAAGAAAGGACATACAAAATAAAAGTAAATTGTAGAAAAATTCTATTAAATAAGTACACATACGGAACAGAATCAAGATATATTCTTCCTTTCAAAAATTTTTAACGTGATTTTCTACATTGAACTCAAAAGCATACATAAAGCAAAATAAAAGACTAAAAATATATGTATGTTTCGATTTACTCGTACATAACATATATATGTATAAAAATTTAATTTGTGCCACATTAGCAGGAAAGTCACTGAACTTAGTAAATCTCAACCCATAAACCCAGTAAAGCTGAGACACCAAACAAAGACAAACAATTTGTAGGTAGCAATGCATAGAAACAATGACTACCCAAAAACGGATACGGAACAGAGTGTGAATGCACCAAAATAATTGGAGTGCACAATTGTTGCAGTTGTAAGAGGAATAAAAAGGGAATACAAAACAGTCGCATTAACAAAAACATTATGAGAAGTGTTGCCAACAAAACACTTTTGTGCCAACAAAGATATGAACGCTGCCAATTCTGGGCAATTAAATCATTCAGGCCATTAAGACTTACTGTGTGAATGACTTCATGCCGACTTAACTCTTTTGTTTTACTGACACATTAACGTTCTAGTATATGCGGATGTACTATGCAAAATGACTATTTTTTATTTACCCATTTTGTGTTTATATCCCGTGTAATCAATTTCGAATAAAGAAATTTGTTTTTATTGGCCACAATATGGACATATTGATGGTTTTAATTTGGTGAATGGCTTGTCTGCAATGCAACCAATTTTGAAATCGATTATTAGAGACAGGAAAAGGAAAATATTATCGAAGTAGGAATAAATAGTTTTATTCGGAAGAACGGAAACATAAAATTGAAAAAGTAGTGTGCTTTGGAATTGTGTAGTAAATTAAAACAAATTTATGAAAGGTTTATATGGCGGGGTTAAGTAGCGTATCAACTTTAGGGAATAATTTTAAAGCTCTGTCTCTGATATATTTTTTCACTGAGTCAATCCTAAGATCTCTATGTATGTCCGTTGATCTAATGTACCATGGAATCTTAAACAGTTTTCTTAAGGCCAGGTTTTGAGCTATCTGTAATTGCTTTAAGGTGGTATTTGAGTCCACTTCTGGACTCTCAGGAAGATATGCTGATTTAAGGTCCGTCATCAACTAAAAGACAAATAAATGATATGATTTTTTAGCCTAGTTAAAGCCTAGTGTGAGGTAGTGATAAACCCCCCAGCCATTATAGAGTAAAAGTGCGTAATAGCACTAACTCAAGAAGAAGAAGAAGAAGAAGAAGAAAGGTTTATATATCTTCTAAGCTAATATTTCTCTAGAACTCTATGTATCACTTTTAAATCAACTTTCAAAAACAGTTTCAAATATAAGAAGTAAATACTTGTTAAGGTTATAAGTGAATAATTATTATTATGTTGAAGCTTGTTGAGTCAGTGCACTTGAGCACTTTTACTCTTTTACTCTCTATTAACTGCGAACTATCTTTAAAACCCATCTATACGCCTTAACTGGATTATTGTTTATCACTTCATCAGATTAAGCAATAATTGACCTCAGATCTGCATACCTCCCCGAGAAGCCTGTAACCATTCTGAGATTCGATAACGCGATGTTGGTAAGTCTGTCAGTTTTCGTGAATAATTTCAGGGCTCTATCCTTTATGTATTTTTTGATCGGATCAACCTTGAGGTCTCTGAGAATGTCATTCGTCCTAATATACCATGGTACCTTGATATATGTAAGAAAACGAATGTTAAGATGAAATTAAGTTGAATAAATGAATTTTCAAACAACAATATTAATAAAATAACCACAAGATTTTTAATATTGATGGAATTTGATATGTTTAAATCAATTATTTGTTTAATTGAGGCGAAAAATGGTAACATTAGTTTAATATATGTAGAGAAACGTTTATGGAGATCCAATACAGTTAAATAAATATAAATAAAAAATTAAAAAATATTAATTAGATTATTTTTAAGGTAGTGATACGTGATATTAATATCTACTTAGAAAAGCTTAACACTCAACTTATCACTTTTAAAAAATTGAATATATGAATAAAACAAGTAACTAAATCTATAATTTATTTCTTCCGAATGACGAAGGGTTCTTTTTTTTGGTTTCTTAACAACTTCAATGTGGGAAGAAAGGAAATGTTTTCATTTCGAAAACACCAAATTTTTGTTATCCCAAAAAAGATCATGGATCGTTAGTTATTAGAAAAAAGATAATACTCGACAGATGTCTTAAACTTCTAAGCGCTCCTTCTAAGCCTTCCTTCTATATATATTATATATTACTTTATATATATATTTATAATATAATATAGGTGTACCTATATAAATTATATTATATTGTATATGAATTATATATGTGTATTATAAACACTTCTTTATTTTACGTAGTAATGTTTTAAAACCTAGAGGGAGTCATACCATTTCCTATGTTTCAAAGTACTAAATTATACTAAACCTTCATATTAAATGCTATAAATATATGAATTTGTTTATTATATATGAATATTTTTATATTTTAAAGATATATAGTACACATTTTCCATTAAATATATTTCATATAAAAATATATATATGTAAGTATGTAAACATAAATTTATATTTATTTAAATTTAATATAATATACTTTATATAAATATTTTACATTAATATTACAATTACATGCTCAATAAATTTTTAAAAATTAATTTAATTAAAAAATTCTCGCACTCTAATATCCTGAAATATAGTACAAAATACAGGATAAAAAAAGAGGATATAATTTTTCTCTTGTCAATTTAATTTAATTGGATTTTTTTAAATAACTTGAAAATAAAATATTATGAATCATTAAAAAGTTATGAGTTTTTTCGATTTACGAACCGCAATAAAAGCTGAAGTATTTACAATAAACATAAAAGAAGTTAAGTGTTTGGCGCCATATATAAAAAATATATAACCATTAGACATAAAAACTAAAACAGAAAAATATATATTTCCTATTTTTTAGAACTCTTATATATTTATTTTGTTCACTATGTTTTTATAATCGGTAAATATTTATTATTATGGCCAATTATCATGTTGGCCGAATCCACATGTTGTGCAGTTTATTTATATAAATTAGGTTACGTATACGACATGTGGTACCTGCAAATAACTGTAAAGTTTTCACATTAACTTAGCATGTTTTTCTTGGTATCTATGTAAAGAAATAGTTAGTTACTTGAAACTCTTCGTCTCATTGCTTTAAGAGCTTTAAATATATAATAGCACTATTCTTATCACTAAACTTTAAGTTTAAAGTGTTAAATACTTTTAATAACTAAAAAAAAAAACTAAATAATTATGTCTTGTAAATTTGCTCCTGAATAATTTGTTTTTAATAAAA